AAATATTGCACTTTCTGCTTCAAACATGGTCATGGTGAGGGGGAATGCAAACTAAAACTGAAGAGAAATTCAAAATCTGAGGGAGAAGTCACCAAGTTTAAACTCTCTTCAGCTAAAATTCCTGGTAATCTTGAAGCACCTTGAAAAAAACAAACTATGAAGCAGGTTTACCAGGAGGTTCGAAGAACCCCAACACCGGTACTAGAAGTTGTAGTGATAGAAAACACAGATATAAAAGAGATCCAGGATCAGCAACTTGAAATCCCAAACAACTGACGTTACTTGCAGAGCGGGTGCGGACATCTTTTGCTTTTAAACCTGACAGGATCTGGAGTCTAGAGGAGCTGCAACAATCCAAGTTGGAATTGGACGAAAGACTTTCTCGTAGGGGGTACAACACTGGCCTCAGTTCTGATGCTGAGCTGCTCAATAAAATTACTAAGAGAGCTCAAAATTCTTCCTACGCCTTATCTGAGGATGAAGCCTAGCTAGAAGTGGAAGCGAACTGGACACAGGTGGTTCGCAAGAAAAGGCCTCGGAAAAAATATGTTCAGAGTGAGAACATACCAGTTACTAGATCGCAGACTGGCCAAGGTATGACTACTTCTAAATGTTCACAATGAATGGTCTTTTTTGGAATATTAAAGTGATTGCAAATGATCCCTCTATCACTCGTCTGAAAAAACTTTGTAAACTACATAAGTTAGGGGTAGTAGCAGTTTCTGAATATCAGTAGCAAAATTGTTATTTTTTGGAATAGTCTTTTCTCTGTACAGTTGATTGATGACTGTGATCAAATCCTATCGGTGAAAGTCATCACCACTACCAATGAGAGTTTCATTTTTTCTATGGTTTATGCCAAATGTGATCGGTTGGAAAGAATGTKTCTTTAGGATAGAATTCAGAACTTAGCCTCTGGTATTTCTGAACCTTGATTATTAGCTAGAGATTTTAATGTGATTACTTGTAGAGAGGATAAAGTGGGGGGAAGAAATCTTGATGTGTCTGCAATGGAGGATTTTGTGGATCTAAGAAATGTTGTAGGACTGGTTGATTTGGGTTTCTCTGGAA